CCATGTCCAGCAGGGCAGCAGGATCTGTCCTTTTCTCACCTCCTCTGCTCTAGCCTTTCAGCGTCTCCTCTGCTTTTGACCTGGGTGCTCAAAGACCTTCTCTTGTTCTTTATGGAAGCAGAGTCACTTTATTCAGACAATCCTTTTGCGTCCACGTTTTCCTGGGACTCAGCACATCTGTTCTTTTAGGAAATTTCATTTCTCTCTTATCTAAGTTAAACATGGACACAGGGTAAGGTCAATTCACCCCGCGCACGGGAGGCAAACCCCAGCCTCTGCCGGCTCTGCTGCTGCTGCCGCCGCCGCCAGGTCGGCCTTCCCGCTGTGCTCACCTCACTCCCATTTCTCTTCTCCTTTACTGTGCCCATGAGGGTGGCCTCGTGTCCAGCTGACACAGGGCGAGGGCTGCAGCACCTCGGGCTGCTGAGGAGAGTTTAGCTTTCCTAGTACACGTGCTGTTTCTTTCCTTTCTTCCTGCTGGAATATGGATGTGAGGCTGTCTCAGTTATTTTTACTCGTTGCTGGGACAAATACCCGACACTCAAAATGCAAGAAGGAAAGGTTTATTTAGCTCACAGTTACTGGACGGTTCAGTCCATATTCTGCTGGCTCAAAGGGAAACGACAGCAGCTCATGCGGCAGAAAACCATGAAGAGCAGGGGAGGAGCAGCAGCTATGTTGTCCAGCAAGCCGCTCTCTTCCTTCTGCGCTGACTGCGAAGACCAGCGCTGCTCCACAGTGGCGCGGCCACCAAGATCAAGCTCCTCGGAAGACTGGGACTTCTCCCCATGGAAGCTGGGTGGGGCAGGGCGCCTTCCTGCCTTTCTCAATTCCTGGGCTCCACGCATGGCAAGGCGAAGACTGAGAACGCAGAGCTGATTCAGACAAATTGACACAATGTATCAGCTAACACAGATGCCTGGAGCTGCAGCTGCTATTTCACAACCGTGAGGCATCAAGGATGAGGAAGGACAGAGTGTAGCTCTAGTTCTTGGGCCTTGGAAATAACCCTCACTGCGCCTACTTCAAGATTTGGGGGAGGGGTGGGAAGGCTAGGGATTGAACCCAAAGCTTCTCACTGAGCTACAGCCCCAGCCCTTATTTCTTATTGTGAGACAGCCTCATTATAGTCCTCAGTCTAGGTTCAAACTTGTGATCCTCCTGCCTCAGCCTCTCAAGTGCTAGGATTCCGAATGCACGCTACCACACCTGGCTTTGCGTTTCCTTTGAATGCACTGGCTCTGCAGGGGTGGGCACAAGTCAGGCAGCTGCGGGCAGCCAGTCTGAGCACCAGGCTGGGGGAAGCACCCACCCACAGGTGGGAAGAAGGGAGGCCCGTGCTCTTAGGGGTGCTGTGGGCCCAGGTTTGTGTCCAGTATCCTTGTGTCCCTGAGACCAGGGGCCCCACAATGTCCCCCATTTTGGGCTGCTCCCGCCCTCTCTATGGGGCCTCTCCTTACCTCAGGCTGGGGATGGCTCCTCTGTCCCCTGGGTGTGGTGGTACACACCTGTAGCCCTAGCACTCAGGAGGCTGAGGCAGGAGGATGTCCATGAGGTCAAGGTCAGCCTGGGCTACATATTGAGAAAGTACCTCAAACAAGGGAGCAAAAACACTGTCAAAACAAGAGCGCATGGGGGGCTGGGGAGATGGCTCAGTGGACTAAGCGCTTCCCTGGCAAGCACAAGGGCCTGAATTCAATCCCCAGTTCCGCAAAAAAAAAAGGAGCACGTGGGAGGAGCAGGCGCCAACAGAGCTACCCTGAGCTGTGGGATGCTGGGAAGGGCCGAGGTTCTGATGTGCTTGACCTCAGTCAGCTGTCAAGATAGCCACCTGTCTGGTGAGATGGCTCGGTGGTCTAAAGCACCTACTTAGAACAAGCTAAGCCAAGCAAAGCACAGGGACCGCGGTTCGATCCCCCAGCACCACATGCCAGCCAGCCCGCCCCCTGGTGGGCTGAGCTGGCCACATAACTAAATAAATAAATTTATTAAAAAAAAAAAGATAGCCACGTGATGAAAGCTCACAGGTGACTATTAAAATAATAGAACTGTGGCACACCTGTCCCTCGTAACCCTCGGGCACCGAGGTGCATTGGTACTCGAGGCCCTGGGGAGAAGCTGGCACCCGGCGCAAAGCCAGGCCTGTGTTCAGAGTCACAGCTAGCCTCCTCCCTCCCTCTGTCCTCTCTCGCCCCTCTCCCTTCTGTTCCTGGGTGTTGGGGCCCAGGCTGAGCCTCTCCTGAGTGCTGTGCTACATCGTTTTGTTGCAGGCAGCCTGAGTTAGATAGAAATACTGTAGGTAGTTAGACAGGGTCAGGCCCTGGAAGGGGATGACAGAGGCCAGACACCTTACAACTGCGGGAGACGCTCCTGCTGTGAGCCAGACCTAAAGACCAAACAAATGCTGACCTCCCTAAAGTTGGCATCCGGGATTGCTCATTAGTCGGGAAGAATCATCGACTGAAGGCCACCAGATAAGGTCGCCCGCTTGCTACGTGACTCGCTACCCCATTTGGGCCTAGGCCTAATCAATTTTACCTGGGCAATGGTGCTTGTAATCCCATTGGTTGACCATGATTTTGTCCCACCCTGTATCCACCTAAGCGGGAACCCTTTGTCCCTACCTTATCCCTGCATGGTTTTGTCCTATAAAAATAACCTAAAAGAGACAGCTTCCTGGGCAACCCGCTCCAGCCCCCCTTCTGTCCCTCTCCGACAGAAGCTTTCCTTTCCAATAAAGTTTTACCCTCAACCTCCGTTTGTTCCTAAAATTTGTTCTTTGGCTTTAGAGAACATGAACTCGTCCAGGCCGGCTTGGGAATTTCACGTCCCTGTGTCAGTTTCTAGGTGGCTGTGCTGCCCCGCACGGGGAAACACTCGCAAGGGGAGCATCTTGGCTCTGCTTTTCGGGGTCAAGGACCACAGGCCTTGTGCAGCTCCCCTGGAAATAGCTTTCACGTCCGGCAGTTGAATCCTGCGCATCTTCCCAGAGCCGGGGATTCCTTGGGTGGGGCTGGTGGGGGGAAGGGTGGTAGCAGGGACAGCGGGGCAGGTGTGGGCACAGTGGCCTGATGGGAGCAGGGCTAACCCAGGACTCGTGCCACCTGCCCGCTGGCCTTGTTGCCCCTGCCAGCGCCCAGAGCACTTCTGGTCAGCTGCAGCGGGTCCACAGGAAGTGAGGCAGCCTAGCAAGGGAGCCCAGCAAGGGGCCAGAGCAAGCGGAGTTGGTGCAGGGCTGTGGCCGGGGCCTATGGGACAGGGGTGACACCAGCCAGGCCGCATCTCTGCCAGAGAGGCAGAATGGCTGCTTGGGCTTGGTACTCTCAGCAGTTCAGGCTCCATGACTTGGGGGTCACTCAGATCTTAGCTTCCTCCTCTGAGGATCAGGAAGAACAATGGTGACACCGCAGGCTGTGGTGACACGCTGTTCACTGGGCTCCTCCCTCCCCAGGCCAGGCTGCCTCAGCTTGCCTAGCCAGATGATTGGGCCATCTGGCTCTGGCCCTGAGGGGTTGGCTGTGTCCCTGTGATACACACCTGGCCCTCCTCCGGGGTTGACAAGGTTTTCTAAGAGGCACGAGTGTCCAGGCCATAGTCCCACCCTTTTCCCGGTGCCTGGGACTGGCTCTGCCCGAGAAGGCCCAGCAATGCCTCTGCTTCTGCCACCCTGGAACAGTGGGCCCAGCGTGGGGGTCCCCACAGGTGGGTCTGTCCCTGCCCCTGGAAGCCCTGTGCTTGGGCATCCTCCTGCTTCAGCCTTCTGAGGGCTGGGATCCAGGTCTGGGCCGCCATGCCCCAGAAACTATTTTATTTCTAAGATGCCAAGAGTGGGGGAAGGGAGAGCCCCACTGTCCGTGGCGGAGCTGCGTGTGCCTCAGACCTGGGCTGCGCCCCTCACTTGACCTCATGTGAAGGCCTGAGAACCGGGCCACAGGCTGTAAAATGCAGTCACATAAACAAAGCGCTTGACCTGGTTTGAATATGCATTACTCCTCTGAAAACACACCTGGAAATTGAGGTGAGAGCTGGAGAACTTGGTCCCCATGTGAGCCGGAAGTGAGCAGGGTGGGTGAGGTAGGCAGGGTGGCTTTGTAAGGAGCAATGGGCGGGACACACGTCCATCTGGGTCTCCTGCTGGGCCGGTGACGCCGGGTGGCACCCTGGCATCCTGCCCGGTGAAGCCCGGCACCAGATACGGCCCCTCGACCTCACACTTCCAAACCACCAGCCAAAATAAACATGTTTTTCTTTCCTTACCTAATGTGGTATTGTGTTACCAGCGATGGAAAAAGCCCTGGTGCGTGGAGGTTAAGAAATGCCAAGTTGGCAAACCGTCTCGAATCAGGGAAACAGCTTTTACTGGAATTAGTAGTATTGGGGAGGAAAAAGGTCCCATCCTTACGTGATTTTTTTTGGACACCAGGCCTCACTGTGTATCCCAGGCTCATCCTGAACTCACTACATTGCCCAGGTTGGCCTAGAACCTAGTGACAATACCCCTGCCTCAGCCTCCTGAGTGCCAGGGTTACAGGGTGCACAACCACTCCCAGGTTGTGCTGTACTAGGGCCCATGCACATGACCCTGTTTACCTTGGTCCCCTCTAACTCCAACAGAAATCCTCCTGGAATTAGGGTTTCCACCCCTAAATGTGGGGAACACGATTCAAACCATTAGAAGCAAGTGTTCTAAATTGGGCATCCTGGTGCACATTTGTAATCTCAGCACTGGGAAGGCTGAGGCAGGAGGATCCCCATGAGTTCAAGACCAGCCTGGGCTATGCAGGGAGCGCAAGGCCAGCCTGGGCTACACAGTGAGGGCCTGGCTCAAAAATCCAAAAAAGTTATTTATGTTGAAAAGAATTTTTTTCTTCTTCTGTGGATTTACCCAAGGTTTTAAGGCTGCATTCCAGAGCTCAACATCCAGTTGTCCCCATAGTGAGCCTAGGAGACAGAAGGGGAGATAGGCAGGTGAGGCCCAAATACACGAACGGAATACATGGAGCAAAGACAGACCTGGACCTCGATGGTGAAGATGCAGCTTGAGAAATTGGAGTGGGAAGGACAAAGGACAGGTCCCTGTGGAAAGTGAGAAAAGCCTTCACTGGCCTGAGCGTGGAGTCCCCCTCAGCTCTGTGTGTCTGTGATATCAGCCCTTCGTGTGGGGCACAGGGCTCCTCATGCCTGTCTGAATTGCTTTGGGTGTGTACAGTAGCTCCGGGGGTGCAGGTCTCATAGGACACCGGGGGTGCACACGCTGCACTCGTGGTCCTGGAGGAGCAAATGGAGAGAAAATCGCCCGCAGGGGGCGCGAGGAGGGTCTTCTCAACCCTACACTGCACATGTGCAACAACAGGTGACAAGTTGATTTCCTCTTTTCTCCATGAATGCATACTCCCTACAGGACCTTTTGTAAACAACAGACAACCTAGACCCACCTCGGAGAAGAGTCCCAGGCTGGGAGGAGTCCATGGTTACTGGTCTCAGCAATTGGGAGGCTGAGGCAGGAGGAGTTTGAGGTCAGCCAAGGATATACAGTGAGACCCTGTGTTGAGTTAAAAAAAGGAAATGACAAAGAAAGGAAAGAAGGAAAGTCCCACTGTGCTTTCTGCCTTCACACTCTTTTGATGTGCAGAGAAAGGGAAGCCCCCTAAAAGAGGCTGCTGCCGCAGGCATGGTGGTACCTGTGTGCAGCATCTGGGAGGCTGAGGCAGGAGGACTGTGACC